AAAAAAACCACCACAAACATCAAAAGCCTGAAGTGGGGAGTAACCCATGAGTCCGCAGCCAGAAAAGCCTACTTCAACATGGAGAAGACCAAACACAAAAACCTGACCATCAAGGAGACAGGGCTTTGTCTATGTCTCTGTCACAAAAGGATTACGTAGTCGCCACAGCGTGGCTCAATTAACCAACAGAAATTTATCGGCTTTTCTTCACAAGGACTTGTTCACGTCTTCATACGAGTAACTATAGCATTTTGGGGATTCATTCTACATAGGTTGACAACCACAAAAACGACAATTTGGAACACAAAACGACCTGAAAATGCAACACCCACCTCACACTACCGCCCTTCCTCTGTAACTGAAGCTGCTGGCGGTAGGACGGGAAATTCTATCGGTATTCATCCGCCACAAAACTGGTGAGCTGCGTACCAACCGATTAAATTTATGTAAAACTAACATGATTATAGTTTTTAACTGGAAAAATGTAGCATAGACTGTAGCATGCCAATAGTTTAAAAATGAACATGTATTACTAAATATTTCGTCCTTGCCATGCACTACTTTCTGGCGGCACTTGTGTACATGCAGTCTGGGCGGATATCCGGTGGCGTGGTTATGCGAGGCTCACTTGGGGTCTCAGAAAAAAATCGATGCATCTAAGGCGCGCAGGTATTAGCTACCGGTTACCGATTTAAAACTGGCACACAACTTGGCAATACGTTACACGTATGCCATGCATGGCTTTTTTTGTATCTTATATAAAATAATGCCAATTTGTTGTTATATTTAATACCTGTACTTGTACACTTATTAATTTGAAATGTTGTCGATCTAAGTCTTGTACACTTAAAATTTTGTAAATTTATTCTCTTTAGGCCATGTTGATTTGATTATGTGGATGACATCCACGCGCGCATGAATTTTCGTCCGTTTCCAAAAAAAAAGTTTTCAACCATACTGTAAATCGTACAAAACAGTTGCAAAATGAGCAAATATATACCGTAAGTTGCAAAAAGAATATTCAAAAATGATATCAATGTCGCAAAATGCCAAAATAAAACAAAAAAGACGAAAATGTAAAGAGAAATGAATTTAAAGAGTAGATTATTCACCAAACCATACACTGTGTCATTTTTTCAACCTTCATGACCACGCAGATTTCATAATGAAAGCAACTTTTTTTTTTTGCAAAACTTTTTTTTTTATTCGCACGCGCGCATCAGTTTTGGGGTTCCCAGAGGATGTCATCCATATAATCAAATCAGCATGGCCTTATTAAATAGTGAAAAAAATGCCAGTAATCTTTCCAGCACAGCTGAGCTCGGCCGTTTTCCCAAGTTATGGATAGAAGCATATTACAGACTATATAATTATTACTGTAGATTAGTTAGCAACGTAGATACAAAAAGTTTGCAATATGAAGCTTTTATTGTCCAAAAAGACTTAGATGGACAACATGTACCCTGCTGGCTGTCTAATGTAAGAAAATGTTAGGAGTCAGGTTTCTATTTACAAACAACAGTCTGAACTTGTCGGCTTATTCACTTGATTTTAAGAAAAGACAAGATTTCATACAGAAATTCTATTCTACCATGTACTTGTATATTTGACTATGTTCTTTTTTTTAGGTGAATGAAAAGAGGGTATGTGCTGCTCCTGGCTGCAGTGGCTGCTGGTTCCAAGAGTTGACGTGTGAAAGCTGTGGCATGATGTTCAGTAAGAAAAAACACCTAAAACGACACATGTACAGCAGTCAAAATGATGAAAACCTGGCAGCCCTGGACGAGCAGGTCAAGTCACCTTTCCGAGGGTAAGTAAGGAAGCAAATAGCATTTCCTAATTTGTGTTCAATGTAAGATAAGAAATGCTTGATAGGTTAGTAAGCAGCAGAGAAAAAACACTCGTGTCCTTGTGTGAAGAGGCTGAAGAGACAGGCCAAAGGCGTGAAGAACCCAGCACTGCAATGCAATGCTTGGCAAGTCTGATGGTGCCATGGCAGCCGACAAGGGTGGGAAAGGTCACTCTTCTAAAGGTGAACAAGAAGTAGTTCTTGTTCTGTTTATGTGGGAAAATCTCTGTTGGCCAGGTTAGTAAGCAGAAAGTGGCATGTCTATCTCCTGTTTCAGAGTTGACGTGTGAAAGCTGTGGCATGATGTTCAGGCCACACCAATTTAATTTGTTGGTTCTCGGATTCGCCTCTTCGTTTTTTTTCTGATTTGCAAAAAAAAAAAAAAAATTGATTCTGAAAAATGCTCATGTTTTGCTCCCCAACAGTTGAGGAAAGTCCTTTTCTTCCTAGTTGTTACAGTTTTCCCATCTATCATTGCAGTGGTTTGATTAAAAGTTCAAAATTCAATGTTTAAATTTTAACCCAGCCTTTTTTGTTGACTTCATGGCTCATTTTGTATCATTTAAGCCTATAATAGGATGCCTAGACCTGTTTTTATTTTTTTTCGCCCTGTCGCTTCATATTTTTTCTGAAAAAATCCGAGAACCAACAAATTAAATTGGTGTGGCCTCAGTAAGAAAAAACACCTAAAACGACACGTGTGCAGCAGTCAAAAACCTGATGGAAACGTGGCAGACCTGGACAAGGCGGGCAACAGGGTTCCAAGCAAGTTGGAAAGGACTGGTCGTAGCGGCAGCATGAGAGTGGAGGTCCAGTGTGATGGCTGCAGTGGTGGTGGTATCGCCTTGGACGCGTCCACGTTTGTGAGGGAAGGGAGAGAGACACATCGCTGGCCACTCTGTAGCCCTTTCATTTATACTCAATGGGTATACCTATGAAGGGTACAACAAGGTTCTTGGATTAGGACTTGGCATTCCCAACTTTTCAGTGACAACTTACTACGACATCCTGAAGAAAGCCTATCCCCACATACACGACACCCTCAGAAGCCAAATCAAGCTGACATGCAAACACATCTCCAACTCAATCTGTCAGATTTCTTATGCATAACATGTTGCTGTCTAAATTTTGACAAGTACACGCTATGGATTTGGAATGGAAATTTATTAGTTCGTTTTCTTTGTGTAGGTACCAACGGGTGAGCTCACGCGTCCCTGGGATATCCTCCCAGTACAAGTACCAGGAGACAAACTTTAACAGAAGAAACAAGTCTGCAGGGGACTATATGGCATTCTATGTAAGTGAAATACCCTCTATCAATACCTTGAAATAGTAACATTTCATATCTCCTACTTTTATTGTGCAGTCATTCCCAAAGCTTTTTAATGTATTATTGATGCGATTTTCTCCATATATTTTTATCACTTGTAGGGACTTCACCGTGCCAGCAGGGAAATTCCTGCTGTACAGTGACGACATCCTCCAGGTGGTGCGAGACACGTACCTGTCTGGGGATGACCAGGACTGGCAGTTGATCAATTACCCTACCAAAGACATCGGTGTGGAGGACCTCTTCGAGAACAATCAATAGTTTACGCACCTGTAGGATCAAGTCCTTGTATTTTCGGTTGAGTCCTGGCAGTCAATGTCCGAAAAAGAAAGAGCCCAACACCTGTAGCAGGTCTCGTATATGCAGACAGACTCACATTTAAACATGAAACATAAATCAGTATACATAGCATAATGCACTA